AAGAGGAATCATCAAGGACATTGGAGAATGCAAGTGCGGAATATGTGGTGAGGAAGATGAGGACACAAAGCATTTGTTCTTGAGATGTAACATGGTCCGATGGTTATGGATGGCTTGTGCAAAGTGGTGGGGCATTAAAGTTACATTGGAAGAGGACTGCTGGAACACCTTCCGAAATCCTGAAAGAGAACAAAAAGAGAAATGTATTAGAGATGGATGGGATTGTATCTGGAGTTCTCTAGTGTGGACAGTGTGGCTGGCCTGTAATCAAAAAATTTTCCAAGGCAAAGAGATTAACCGGGAGAAGATGTTGGAGCTCATCCAATTAAAGTCATTCCACTAGATCACAACAAAAAAAAGAAAGGTATGCCTTCACTTTAACGGACTGGTTTTTTAATCCAGTTGCATGCTTGAAAGATTGCCGTAGGAAAAGAAGGGTACCTAATGAATAATCTGTAGGAGGGGAGGGTTTGGTGATTTCTGGGAGTTTTAGTCTATTGTTTTTTGCTTTGGAGGTCTGAATTGCTAAATAATGGGGGCTCACAAAGGTTTATTGAGCAATTATTGACTGTAGTAGTTTCAGCCATAGTCAATGCATGATCAATGTCTCGTGGGTCTGATGGGGTGTTTCGAGTGAGGGTTTGTTGATTTGCACAGGGAGATATGATGTAAAGGCAAAAGATGGCAGAATCCTCGTTACGGAAATAGTGTCGACACTTTTCTTGGGTGTCGACACCTTGTATTATGTTTCGATTTTTATGGGTTTGGAGTACCCCTTGTATTCTGTTTAGGTTAAATGCTTAATTTGGTCCCTCAACTTTAAAAAATAAACATTTTTGGTTCCTCAACAATTTTTTACACTTTTTTGATCCATCAACTATACGAAATGCACTCCGTTAGTCGTTCTGTTAATTTGAGCCGTTAACCCTGCTTAGGTGGCATTTTTTATTTTTTATTTTGATGATGTGGAGAGCAAAACTTAAAAAAATGATGACATGCATAAAACTTTTGCCATGTCAAATGCTACCGAGCAAAAACGCACCAAATCCATCCAATGGGTCCCACATCACCACTAACAATTGCTCCTTTGGCCATCGGTTACTGTTTCTATTCTTTTCGATGTTTTTTCCATTTTTAAGATTTTCCGATGTTTTTTCCATTTTCAAGATTGAAGTTCGACAGGGTGTTCTTTCCATTTTCAAGATTGAAGTTCGATAGAACCCAGCTCGATTCATTTCTTTCCATTTTCAAGATTGAAGTTCGACAGAACCCAGCTCGATTCATTTCTTTCCATTTTCAAGATTGAAGTTCGACAGAACCCAGTTCGATTCATTGAACTCAATTGTCCAAAAATCTCTCGCAACAACCTGCAATTTG